TCCAACTTAATGGTCGATCGTTTGGCACGTTTGCTGAGCCGTCGCGGAGTCGTTGTCACCGATTGGTTCAGTAGAGTCGATGTCTTAAGCGCTGACTTCTTAGTGGTGGTCAACGCGGGTCTCATTGACGAGCGCTTCCGTTTGCTGGTCCGTCGCTGACGCGATGGCGTCCTTAAGACACGGCTGTCGTTCACATTACTGTGTGTTTGGATCAATTGGAGTCAAAGACATTAGACATTGACAATCAAGTGGTGGTCATATGAGTCATATGTGACATAAACACATGACATTCAGTGATTACAAGTGTTGAGACAATGATATTATATTCAGTTTAGATTAAGACATATATGACTATATGGACAATAAATATGCAAATCGTCACCGGAACTGATCCATACCTCTGGACAAAGTCAGCCATTTGTTTGGCGGAATCGATGATATAATTCATGATGACATGGTGTGCCTCAACCATACCGTCGAACTCCTGCTTCACTTTGTCACTCATGTGACCTCTGATGACCNGAACTGATCCATACCTCTGGACAAAGTCAGCCATTTGTTTGGCGGAATCGATGATATAATTCATGATGACATGGTGTGCCTCAACCATACCGTCGAACTCCTGCTTCACTTTGTCACTCATGTGACCTCTGATGACCCAGAAGTCACCGTCCGATACGAGTGTACCCATCGGTGGTGCAGATAATCAGCTGATGAGTGGAGTACAAGAAGTGATGGCAAAGTGTTTTGAGACAATCACTGCTTTTATGCGAAATGCGCCCAAAATTCATAAAACTGTTCATAAATGATGTGATGAACGCATGCGTGCGGGCGATACAGTCAACTCTAGATGTTGTGCACGAGTTGAGTATACAGTTCACTCACGGTTAATCGCATTGGAGTTTATTGTAATGAGTTTTATAATGCTATTTATTGCCTGAACTTAATTAAGTTTTATATCATTTGTATTTAAATTTGAGTTTAAATTTTTGAGAAAAAACTTTACATTTAGTATATTATATCACAAGTTGACGGTATATAAAGTGACATTTGTGTGTGTTTTTGTAACATTGTATATGACATATGATACAACCGCACCTTTTCCTTACTACAAACTCAACACGATTATAAGTAACAAAAGGTACCAAAACATATACAGCATTTATCACATGATAACTCGAGTGTCATTCATAAGGCATTCATAAACAGTGTTACGGTTTGTTGTGATCATTGAGTGGTAAACACGAGACAAATGGCCAGAAGTGCGACAAAACGTCGTTTGAGTGACGGATCCGACGCCGAAGACATTGATGACGCGGACGTGAGGGCCGGTCCGTCGAGTGGTGGACAGGGAGGGGACGTGCGGTCGCGTCAGTGCCCATACCTGGACACCATCAACAGAGGGCTCCTGGACTTCGACTTCGAGAAACTCTGTTCCGTCTCATTGTCTCAAATCAATTGTTACGCTTGTCTTGTGTGCGGGAAGTACTTCCAGGGTATGTATGGCCACCACTGGCACCAACCCATACACCTGATGATGATGTGGCTAACTCAGATGTGTTGTGTGGACGGGTAGGTCGAGGGATCGGAACGCACGCATACATGCACTCCGTATCTGTTGGACACCACGTGTTCCTAAACCTGGATTCCCTTCGCTTCTACTGTCTGCCCGACAACTACC